GGGCTCAAAAGATGCAGCTTGGTGAAAATTATGGGGAAGTTTTGTGGTCGTCTTGTGATCTCTTGAGAAATACACTACATTCTACTTCGTTGTGCGATTTGAAGCTCGACGAGTTTCATGCTCGTTAGTTTGCCTGCTGATTCCGTTGTTGTAAACCTTGTTATCATTTCAGAACATGACATTACTGAATTGGATTTACCAAGTTTTACAGCAGAAGATGCTTACTCTTCCGGAACACCCGGTCTTATTCTGCTCGTACTTTTCAAAGAGTCTCCATGTGAATCTTTCTTTCATACTTTCTTACTATAGTTTTATGGAATTTGAGTTTGAATTATGATTATTTTGCCATGTTGGTATTTTCTTAATGTTTTTCAGTCATATTTCCAACCACTCATACATGTACCTAAATGTATGCCTATTTTTTCTTACCTATTGCGGACTCAAAGTCAAGAATTATTTATCTACCTAATTTGAAAAGTGCAAAGATGATTTTCACTTCGCGCCATACTTTAATTAATTACACTGTATTCAAAACTTACTATGGAGTCGACAGCCAAGGGTCAGACAGTATCTACTCATAGTCTAGTTATAAATAACGATAGTGTAGGAAATGTTTGTCTGCCATGTATCAACAGCAATATTACATTGTCGTCGTAGGTGGGGATGTAACTACAGTAAAATGGGCTTCAAATTTATAAAATATATTTGTACGCAAGTCACCAGACCATGACTAAAAGTATGACTAATCGTGTGACAGGTAAAAAAACCTCACCTTTTGCTGTCAATTACGTCATGCACAATTTATGTGGAGAGAATTTCACTTACACAAATACTATTTCAAAAATGACATAAAAAACATAATTTTAATGTTCATGCACTTATGAACTACCGGAAACATTAATTTGTATTGGTTTTTACCACTCTACAACTCCCACAGTAGTAGACCAAACCTGTCATACATATTTACCTTGTTACCTTTTTGTAAATGATGTCATTTAAATCTAGCATCACGGCCAGTTATTCATAAGACGAGAAGAATATGAGCACATCAACAACAAAATCAGAAATATCAATTTCTAATTTTATCTAATAAGGGAATATCTATTCATTTTACCTTGTACAGAATCCGGCGTTTTTCTTCTAATTGCATACACACAAAAAATCAGTGTATTATATTTCCGTCAATCTACTATTAGCCTACGTTAAAGGCACAGCTCAATTCAATATTCTTAAAGTGTCATTGTTATGATGGATTTAAACAACAAATCAATCGCAACATTATTCAACAAATACACGTAATTACCTGTTTATGAACTAAATGCGACAGGACTCCGACAAAACCTGTATTTACCTGTTCAAGCAACCCGCGTCATTTCATTTCAGTAACACTAGTATTGACTTGGATATCATATTATTTAAATGTCATAAACAAGGTTTTACATGTTACAAATATCACCGTCTATATAAATACATAATATGATACAACACGCAATGGTAACACAACGACAGTCATTTATACATTTCAAATGGTCAAGATAATATGTTTGTGTGTAATTGAACTATGAATGTCTAGTCCTTATTCACACCTTATCAGATTTGATAAAACACTTAAAAATCCACTCCTATCTCGACCGACAGTTTATCCTGCCGACACACCTCTGTGTGTTGTCCACTCCTATCTAAGTTAACAGATACTTCTCTCCTTACCTCACATTTCTCGCACACCTGGACACATATTCATGACACCGTTTTTACGTCCAAGCTGAAATCTCTGCTCAGCCTATGGCAACTGTCTTCAGCAATTTTGTGTCAGAACTTCCGCCATAAGATTCCTATCTGATGCCACTTATTGCAAGAATAAACACCGCGACTTTTCACACACGTTTCCTCATTTTTTATATGAATAAACAAAAATATTAATAGAATATAATGTCTTATAGCACAACCGGGAGAAGATTAGATTGTGACGTTTCGATGACTACTCTTTCATCAGTCAAAATCGGTTGTGTTATAAGAACTTTTATTTTTTGACATAAACAACTGGAAGAAAGTGTTCCGCAAAAAGCAGAAATATTATATAAACGTAATTGTAAACACTAAATAAAAAATTTATTAGGACAAATGTTACAATTAACAAACACACTGTGGTTGAAATAAATAAAATGCATACAATTTATACAATTTAAAAATCAAAATTCAAAATAATTATGTACATCCTGCATCATGGACGGCTACATACAACATAACAACAGTAAACACAAAAATGATTGTCATTTACTTTGGACATTTAGCCATGTTTAATCAGATACTGTTAATGAGCCAATAAACATATTACATGTAAACAGAGAAAAAGTTAAAACCGATGAAAACTCTCATCGTAAAACGAGTGACGACCTCGTTGTAACTGTAACTCATTCATTCATATCACAGTCTGAAAGCCACTCACAAGAGAATGTTAATAAAAACTACGTTTATTTACGTAATTTATGATGTATGTGCTATAGATATGCAATTTGTTAACTTTTGCATTTATGGTTGTTCAGATTCCAGTGACGGTAGTGAGTATGACATTAGCATGGACTTTGTGACGTCACAATATCGGTCAAGTGATCTGATGACGACATTTATGTACAATGTGGTCTAGTGGCGCGATGATAATGGGTTCACTTTTTACCCAGAAAAGCAGGACTCCAATCCCGGATCGGGTAAAAAAGTATGAGATCACCAGCTCGCCCACATGAGTGTTTTCCGAGGTATATCCGTTTTCACAAACAGTCAGTTCTGTTTCAGTCTCTGCCCGCAGTAGTGTTGAGTGACTAATATTAGTTATATGTTTACTTCACGCCTGTTGTATAGTAGATAGCTTAGCTGTATGAGGATTTTAGAGCAAAATTTAAACCGAATAGCAAAAACATGATTTCTAAATTTCTAATCATTCATCAGTATTACCATGGAAACAACCTTGTTGCACTTCCGCCCGAGATGTTTTAACATTTTTACCAAGCTGAATTTATCTCTTTTGCTACAACATATCCTAATATAAATAAATATAGAGAGGTGCCATTCTCTTTGTACCTTTTACATCATTCTTGGCGATTGCAGAATGTACACATTGCTCTTGGACTTAGGTCCCCGCGGTTTTGCCTTAACCTGCATGCCACATTTTAATTCATATGAATAGTGACAAGATACAGAATATATTAAATTAATAGAATTGAGCAGTTTATGTATTCATATATGTCATTTGTCTTGATTCAGACGTTTTTTTCGACCATTTTTGATTTTCTGCATTAGCATAACTAAGGAGGACGAAATGATTGTATGATACAGTTCAATGAATTAGTTTGTTCTAGTGGATATAATTCTATATTTGTACCATATTCGCATGGAAGAGTGCTTATCGCTTATGCTAATAGTATCACTGCCTGGAATCACCGTCTATTCCTCTGTATTCGGTAGTGAAGTATCAACGCCGTCCGCCATTGTGATTCAACATCCATAGCTGAATATTTGTAAATGTCGAGAACTTCAACGAAGTATTGGAAATTTCGCAAAATCAATTGTTCTGAATACTTAACTGGTAAACTGACAATGGTGATAATGACAAAACCCTGACAGGATGAATGAACATAAAGTACACTGAACACATAATTAAATCAGAGAAAAAGATGTCCACCCCCTTTTCATTTAACGTATATTAACCTCTTTTTTCTAAATATACAAAGTTTATCCTAAGAGGCACTGTCAGAACTTTACATGTATTGTAACTGACTGACGATGACATGGTGTCTTCGTTACGGACAATAATCACCACTTCACGTGACGTGTTTGTATTGGACGTTGACAATATGACAATAATTCATACTTCACAAATTGTCTTCGTTACGGACTGATTATAATCACAATGTCACGTGATGTCTTTCTTGCTGACGTTGAGAATGATCACAACTTGACATGTGTCTTTTTTTGTGGACGTTGAGAACAATCAAAACTTGACATGTGTCTTTGTTGTTGACGTTGAGAATAATCACAACTTGACATGTGTCTTTCTAGCTGACGTTGAGAATTATCACAACTTGACTAGTGTCTTTATTGTGGACTTTGTATGATCACAACTTGACATGTGTCTTTAGTTGTTGACGTTGAGAATTATCACAACTTCACATATGTCTTTGTTGTGGATGTTGAGAATTATCACAACTTGACATGTTTTTTTGTTGTGGACGTTGGGAATAATCACAACTTGTCATATGTCTTTGTTGTGGACGTTGATAATAATCACAACTTGACATGTGTCTTTGTTGTGGACGTTGAGAATACTCACAACTTGTCATGTGTCTTTGCTGTTGACGTTGAGAATTATCACAACTTCACATGTGTCTTTCTTGCTGACGTTGAGAATTATCACAACTTCACACGTGTTTTTGTTGTGGACTTTGAGAATGATCACAACTTGACATGTGTCTTTGTTGTTGACGTTGAGAATAATCACAACTTGACATGTGTCTTTGTTGTGGACGTTGAGAATACTCACAACTTGACATGTGTCTTTGTTGTTGACGTTGAGAATTATCACAACTTCACATATGTCTTTGTTGTGGATGCTGATAATTATCACAACTTGACACGTGTTTTTGTTGTGGACGTTGAGAATTATCACAACTTGACGTGTGTCTTTGATGTGGACTTTGAGAATGATCACAACTTGACATGTGTCTTTTTTGTGGACGTTGAGAATTATCACAACTTGACGTGTGTCTTTGTTGTTGACGTTGAGAATGATCACAACTTTACATGTGTCTTTGTTGCGGACTTTGAGAATTATCACAACTTGACATGTGTCTTTGTTGTTGACGTTGAGAATAATAACAACTTGACAAGTGTCTTTGTTGCGGACGTTAACAATAATCACAACTTGACATGTGTCTTTGTTGTTGACGTTGAGAATAATCACAGCTTGACATGTGTCTTTGTTGCAAACTTTGACAATACTCGCAACTTCACATGATGTCTTGCTCCTGACGTGGAAGAGGATCGCTATTTGAAATAAATGTAACCATTTGTTCTTCGTCATCACAATCGGAATGTGAAATTTTGCTTGTATCCCCATGGTAACCATTTGTAAGGATATATTTCGGGGATTTATTACAAACTTTCTGATTGCTGTTTTTATCTTTGTGACTATGGCCGTTAAGATGTTGGTGGTAGTCTTTTGATTCACCAGAATTGGAGTTCGATACCGCTGACTCTCGTCGTGTACGTGACATAAATGATGTCATCGTGTTGGACTTCCGGTTTATACTCTCACCACCCGTATGAGATAACCGATATCTTCTCCACTTCTTCCTAATTTCAGACTGAACCTGAGTAAGACACAGAAATTGAAATATAAGACTCTGTTGGTATATATGAAAAGGGAGAGATCTGATGCTAAATGTGAACGATATTGGATGAAATGAAAAAGTGCTACCCGGCTTCGTGGATGTACGAGTGTTTATAAATACAGAACAAAACACAAGGAATCCGTTTGATAAAAAAAATTAATTGTATGAGAAATACGTTTTCAGAAGGTACACAACATAACATATTCGAAAGACAAATTAACATTAAACATTAATAGGAGATCGGGAAAAAATGTTTAAAATATCATATGTTACCTCTCCGTTAAAGAAGCAAAACAACAGTGTCACGAATAAACCCTGTAAAATAGAAAATTATATTACTTATGTGCACATTCATTCCAATTATTTTTATCTGAATGCAAACTTATCTTGAATTTCTCCGACCCGCTGACTCATATGAAATGTTTTCTTACCGTATAGAAAACACACAGTAATCTGTAGCCACTATTGGTGTATTTTGGATATACCTAGCGATCTCAGTCTTAATAGAAAGCTCTAGTATGATAGTTATGAGCCGAAATTGCACTGTTAATGCCAATAAAAAGAGAAGCAACGTTTCCTAGAATATCATTTGTCGCCTCTGCTTTTCTGTAAGTCGCTAAGTCTGGTGTTTTTTGGTTCCGGGACATGATATTGTCGCTCTGGTTAAACAATATTGCGATATTGCATTATTTTTCTTTATTTTTGTCCTCTAATTATTTCTACTTAAAAAAAAATATATATACATATATATATATATCAAACACAATCGTTTACAAGTTCTGCTTCAAATGATGTGGATTAATTTATCAATTGTTATCGTGATGCTTAACTTTAAAAGTATTGAAATTAAAACTTGCCTGAAATGAATTAAAGAACATCTCAAAATAGAGTTTGACAAGTTCTGCCATCTCACTGACGTCCTCAGGTAGGCCCACGAATATAACGTAATGGACGCCGAACAGGGGGATAAGTACCAAGGTTGACTTAGCCAGTTTCCTGTCAAAGTTAGATAGGGTTAAAACGACAATGTAATATATTACTAGATTAATAAGGTATTTTTGGCTCCTTGTCCCCTACCAATCTGACTGATTCCCTATATTTCCGTAGACCTAGAATCATTGGCAAATTAACTTATAATACAATCTATACATAGTCAGACAAAAATAGTCATTAGTCGAAGGGAGACCACTCCTATATATATAGACTTCCATGTATAACATGTAATGATTTTCGTGTAAAAAATTGACATTTTTGTAGCTACAAACAAACAATAAAATAGATTTATAACAAATGTTTTTTTTGTGGTGTGAACTTTTTTTAAAAAATTTTTAAATGAAACCAGGAAGGAATCTTTACATGTTATACTGCATAAAGAGAACTATTTTTCTCTGATTAAGTTCGTGATTCGAGTAAAACCAAGTTTATAGGGACTAAATGGTTAGATAGTCATTTCATAACTGATAAAATGCATTATAACATCTAAATATCTGTCAAAAATTGTATACTTTCTGATATTTGCGATATCTTAAAGTTTGCATAAGCATTCTATTAACAACGTCAAATAATTAAAATAAAAAATAGGAGAGACCCAACACTAATTCATATCATTATCGTTCGGAGAGTTTAAAAAATGTCTTTGCGCGTGCAATGTTAGACTCAGATTAATTCAAATTCATCTATTTCGCTCTGTCACGCGTTTCGGGTGAAACAAGATGCCATCTTACGAAGTAAGAATTGAAACATGGCTTGTAAATTAAGTTTTGGCTAATTACATAATTACACATAGTCAGAAATCATATCAAAACGGCAGGTGAAAACGAGGCTCCGAAAGGTCACGTCATGAACTCGGCCATCTCTGATCTAAACAGCGATGGGTGATAGACACAACAGCGAGTGTCGACTAGCGTTAGTTTGAGGCTGATAATCTATATCAATTTCCGTCAGAGAGTGTTGTAATTTTGTGCAGAGTCTGATTTTAAGTATTACGATGCTTGCCCGAAATCGAAAGCATGGGAAAAACAACCAAGTCTAACCATTTAGTCCCTTTGATAGTAAGTATTCCGAACCTCTGCGGCCGGCTTCAGTTCAATCTTATACGAAGGAGAGAGATTTCAGAATGTGCAGTAGGTTCGTACTTCATCCAGATAAGCATTAGGTGTACATATTTAAAAAAAAACTATAAAGCATTAGATTTTACTAATTGCGAAATCCGGTGCATTAAACTTATAATGAAGAATGTAGAAACAAAGCATCGGAATATTCCACTTTCAATAACAACTACATCATCAATAAACAAAAATAAAAAAAAATATAAGGCGATATCTTCAAATGCTTCCCTTTGACAACATAGATTTTTGGCGGAAACAGGAAAAAGCACATGCTTATCCCATGATAAATCAAACTTCATTATACATACATATCTACATATACATATAAAATAGCAAAACTCTACAAAGATACTGGTCTTTTATGCAAAATATATTAGTGTATTAAATAAAAAAAAAGAGGCAGCGCTTAAAATTAGTAGAAACACGTGGTAAGTAATTGAAATGTGTGACAAAACAAATTCAAACTAAAGGTGCATAGTGAAAACTACGTAATACTTAGAGGTCGAGATCTTTGTGAGTGAGTCACCTGCAATTCAATCACATAGTATATTAGTACTTCCGGGTCATGCCTAATATCGTCGACGTCACAAAACCTACCTGTACAGTGAAGGTGTTTGAAAATCTCATAGAAGTATGATGTAGGTAAGCCGGCAGTAAAATTATCCCTAATGTATGGGGACATTTTATAGTCGTCGAAGTATTTCCTAAATAAACTTTACATGCTGTAACTATTTAAATATGTTCAGAGCTCGTTAGTGTGCCAGGTTATTTCGTCCTTGCTCTCGTTTGGGAATATTACATCACTTACTTTGTTTGACGACTATTTATTTACATGGCGCGTGCTATTGATGACGTAGAGGACGCTTGACTGTAGTTATTCAAGGTTATTCAAGGTTATTTCTGTAGTTATTCAAGGTTATTTCTGTAGTTATTCAAGGTTATTTCAGTAGTTATTCAAGGTTATTTCTGTAGTTATTCAAGGTTATTTCTGTAGTTATTCAAGGTTATTTCTGTAGTTATTCAAGGTTATTTCCAAGGTTATTTCTGTAAGTATTCTGAGTTATTTCTGAATTATATCAATAGTTGTTTCTGGTCATTTCTGCTGAACGTGTTAAGGGTTACAGGGAGTATAAATTTAACACTTCTAGAAACACTGAAATGTCATTTTTAATAAATCAGAAATCACAGGCTTAGATATATGAATTTCTATTTTTTAGTGATTACAACCGTCAAAACATCAATCCTCGTAATTGGTTTCCTGATATGCTTGGAATATTACCCAAAGTTTGATAGGCTTGCGAGAGATGAGAAAGTAAAGGGCGGTAGTGAGAAGTAGGGCATTTATACAAAGGAAACTGTTAATGTTCACTAAATGGTCGTCCGGAATACAGTTTTTTTTTCTTTCAAGATTTCTCTGTAATCTCAATATTTATCAATATTATGGTCTTGTCTCGGAGGACGTTAAAATATTAGTCCGGTAAGCATTATCAATGTTTTGTTAAAGTCACTTTGTTCGCTGGTGGAGATGACTTAGAAGTGTGAATTAACCAGATATAAGTCGAATACAGGTAAATCTGGTATAAATGTCTTCATTGCTGTTAAGAGGATCTACAGTTGTATTATTTCACATTCGGTAGGATACTAACATGCATACACAATAAAAAACTCTGATTCATACAAATGCTTTACTTACAATTCAAATTTCACACGTGAAATAAGCCCTAATTGGGTCATATTTCGTTGTGAACTTTGCTGAATTGTTAAATACGCCGGGCTAGCCTAGCAATTATGATAAACTACTTAAAGTCTAATTAGACTATAAAAAATATTCTTTTCTAAATAGGTTTATCATTTTAACTTCTTTGAACACTAAACAACTATAAAAAATAACAGCACGGTATCAAATTTCGGACAAATGAGCCACAGGTAAATATAACAGTAATTATTTACCTTACATAATTATAACCTTACGCCTACCTGCTTTATTAAGATACTCACCTGTACCTGAATTGTCTTGCCTCAAATGTGTTGAAAGCTTTAAGTTTGGTGAAAAGTATTCTTATGGTATTGAGAAATATGACGAAATTTATCTGAAATAAGATATAACCAAACCATGATATGTTATGGAGATAGAAAGTAGACATACGATATATCAATATTGTTTAACTGTTTAAGTACACCTGAAAAGTAACCAATAGAAACTAGTGCTATTTTACATATTTAAAAAAATACATATATCATATTATGTACAATGATATTACTAGGTTCTGTGAATTAAAAAAAACCCCTCATAATATGAATTCATATAAATATTATCCATATTAGGGCTAATTGATAAGTGAGCCTTGTGTTGAAAAAGTCAAGCAGGGATGTCTTTTATCAGCTCTGGTATGCCCTGACTATTTAAAGCTTTGTACCCAAATAATGTAATATGTCCGCCAAAAGTCACACCCTTAAATATGAAGCTCATATTTTATGGACCAGCCCTCGTATCAGACATACACACAGATAAATTATTAGTGACTTTTTTACATAGGGCTGGTCAGTGTGGTTAAACATTATAAGGAAGTCATCCTATGCTGGCGAGAAACTGCCAGTCTCCCTAGTTCTAATTGACACACGTAAGAAAACACAACCCTGATACAGGATATGCTTAGTGTTATGGTACTTTAATTTAGCAGGTTTGTATTGTATCAACATTTCTGTGACATAGACAAGATAAACATGTCACCGATTCAACCGCAATTACGTATCTTGTTGGAAGCCAATGAGAATACCGAAATTGAATCATGTTTACTGGAAAGTCATCCAGCGTCGTTTCTACGTAAACGATAGCAGTAATGACTCAAGCTTTGAGAGTGAAACTTGTGTTATATATATATGAATAAATACATTTTGTGAATACGTTACTATGAACTATATGTACAAGTAAGTATATATATGTTTTATCTACTGTTTGGATGGATATCGTGATTTTATTTGGCTGTTAATTCAATTACATGAATATGACCTTGTTTTTTTCTTATTAATACGCCGCTCAATACTACCGCATCTGAATTATTCTTGAAATGGTTACTAAGCACCGTTTGGAGAATCATTCCCAAATAATCATAACGTAAATTTTCTTTTCCGCTTTCGAGAATATTCATCATTATAGGAAAACAGTTTTATGTAAATCGATGATTGTATTATTGTCAACAAACCAAGTGGGACTTGTTAAAAACGCTTAGATAACCGGTAACAGACAACCGTACCTGTATGTCTGAAGTCACGGTTGGACCTCTTAACCGGTAACAGAAAACGTATTTATACAAAGTATTTTGGTACTTACAACAACGGAAGCCACGATTGGACCCCTCATAATCCAGAAATATCCAGCTGTAGGATTGGTGTTCCAGCATCTGTTATCAAAAAATGAAAAACATATATTTATCATTAATAGGGCATTGACATTGTATAACTCTTATTGTCAATCTCAAAACGTCTTGAGATATAACACACGGCGAATAAAAAAATCTATGAAATTCGGAGTGGAGATACTCTTAGGAAAATCTGTTAGATACAACCAGGCACAATTCCTTTAAATTTTTTCTATCGTTATAAGGCGGAAAGGTGAGATCAAAATTTTGTCCTTGAAATTTCGTTATAATTTAATTGCGATAAATTGCAGGATTTGTTTCCCTTAAGAGACTGTTACAGCTCCATGTTTTTTGTTAGATTTATGATGATTTTAATTTTTGATGAAAGAAATCAGTATTTCATAGCGTTTTCCAATTAAATCGACCCTGAGAGCGCGGATTTTCGTGCAAGAAGTCGTCAAATGACAGATAAACTCATAACACAGGGTTACAAAAGCTGCAGATTGATGAGATTATGGGGAATTTAACGGTCGTCTTAATGATCCTATTAGAGATATTTAATTTCTTTGTGCGATATGAAGCTGGACGAGTTTGATGCTCATTAGTTTGTTTGCCCGTTTTTCTACTGCCATTGTGTGTACCGCCTTCTGACCAAAATTTACATGGCGGATGTCGTCGATGACGCATATGACGCTCACCCTTCCGGAACATATGGTCTTATTTTCTTTCAGGGGTACTTGTGTACATTTTTTTGTTCATATCTTGGCCTAGTTTTATTGAATTTGAGTTTGAATTATGCATCTGTTGACATGTTGGTATTTACTGGCTGTTTAGAAACATGTCTCAAAAACAAAAGTAAAGAAAAAAATACTGGACAACAAACAAATGTAAAGCAAAATGATTCGAGTTGGTCACTTGAGTTGTCGCCCTTGCTTCGAAGCTCTAAAACTGTGAGGAGAAATCTCAGAATTAATCATGAATTTTGGTATCCATATAAAATTAATAACTACATCGGTGATGAAGTTTTGCTTGGATTTCCTGCAAGTTCATGTTCTACATAAACATTATACAATCAATAATGACAGACACATATCATACTTACAACACATCCTCTAAGGTGGCTCGCACGATGACCCATGGTATGACGAACAGGAGAGGTGACACTGAAAACAGTAACAAACATCTACTCTATCATTTCTTTCTTGTATATAAAGTATAATACGTATATATGTAAGGGAAAGGAACTATCTGAAAGCGAGCAAAATTTGATCCAAAAGATGCATGCTTATAAATATATACATGTATACTGTATAGAAAGTGTATACCTACCTGTTTATGGCTTTATTCCAGCTATTTACGCATTATTTCAAACATTTCATAAACATTCAAATATAATTATAAACAAATAACCATACATGCATGGAATGTGTTGAACGATTATATCCCATATACATCCAAATGATGCAGCTGCAAGTTTTATATCACATTGGCACATTTCGTTAGCTTCCGTGTAAGAGATGACGTATTTCTCATGTACGGAAAGCGACGAATGTCCCCGCGACCGGAAACCAGTTAAACCACATATTGTATGTGTGTAGAATTTATTGCAATGATCTAAAACTCGCAGAATGAAAGCTTGAAAAGATAATATCTCCGTCAAAAGGATTTTTGTTCAACGGGTCGAAAGTTCGCATTCCGTGCTGAAACAGAGTTTCGGCCACCATCTAATAGTGTATGCAGCTTGATGGTTGTGTGGTTCCTTCAACCACTTGTAATTTCCAAACACGATACGATAAAATTTCATATATGTGAAATCAGTATACATTTAGATGTAAATAAGTTGTGTATCTAAATCACTTGTAGAGATGTAAATTTAATTCACTTGAATAAGACGAGTATGTAAAATAAGCTTATTTCGAGTTTGTTAAGATCATCAAACATATTCATGCACTAAAATATCGTCGCCATTTAAACCAAGGAAGTACAGGACACCAAAAGATGTGTGGTACTCACACCAGCCAAACACGACGAACCAAATGATGCTGCTTTGCTCCGAGAAGACGTTGACGGATATGAGCGTGTGAAGATACATGCCTTCTACGAAGATCCACATGTAGTTGGTACCCAGTAGGTAGTGGAACACTGTGAAAAACAGCTTACATTGCCAGTGCTGCAAAACAAAAACAGGATTATAAAGACAAGGCAATATTGCGAAGTGCGTCGGAGCGGTGCGTTGGAACAGCACAGTTATAAATATTTATCATTCTATGCATTGCTGCGATGTAACCTTACCGAATGTCAGTTTTGCGCTTGCTCTTCCGGAACACATGGTCTGGTATTACTCTCCATGTTCGTGTTCGGATGCCTTCATAATTTTGTTTGTTTATATTTTGCCCTAGTTTATTAGACTTTACTCATGATTATGTTGACATGATCACTTGAATGAAAATATGTTTTATTTGAATTGGGATAAAACTGGTGAAAAACTAAGAAAATTTAATTTAAAAGACTTTATAGTGATTCAAATATGAGTTATGACCAATGCGTATTGTATTAGTGGTCAGTCTTACTGTTCCTTCAGGTATGAACTGGATTGCTCCAGTAGGCGAGGTTGTAACGTCAGCTTGGAATCCTACACCTTCCACCAACATGTTCTCCTTCATAAATGATATGGCCGCCCTCAGCATGAAAGACACGAACATGTTGACGTGAATTGTATTCCTCGGACACCGCAGCTTTCTGCATAAGATTATTATCAAATACTTAATAATTGTTTATTAAATGAACATTTCCATAAAAACGTTACTACAGTTGTATATGAACAATGTACCTGTCCCCATATAATCAGTATATAAGATAATAATTAATGCCTATGTATAAATATATATTATTGTTGTCCTGATGGATTCAGTTAATGTGCATGAAGTCAAGTTGTGTTGATGTCAAATTAAAAGTAAGCATTTTGGTGTTGTATAGCACTGATAATGCTTTGAATTATGACAAGATTTGTTTACTTACAGGAAACCTGTAACCGCAGAAATTGTATATAGGAGGGTTTCTGACGGCCCAGAAATTTCTCTTGATTTAGTATGTCTGATATCGCGTATATGTAAATACAGCATTGTAGATATATGCATCTGTTAAATGTCTGATCAGAAGTAGACATTTTTACCAGAGTTATGTCGTGATATATAGACATTCAAGCTGTAAACACATATCTGTTACGTACCGGAAGTAAAGCATGATAAACACAGCCATCACAAGGGACACTAGGGAGGCTCCGTACCCTATTGTGTACATCATTGTAATTCGGTGCATGTGCTCCTAGAATTTAGAGAAAAAAAGATATATCAACATTATTTCATAACTTAATTAGAAAACTGCTAAACATTTAACTATCTATATTATTGAGAATACTTGTCATCTCGATAACCATTGTATGATTGGACGTACTCACAGCAATGAGGGGATGGCCTTCGTCCTTGTGAATACACTTAGAGTAGTCAGACCACGTGGTGTTGTGTACCGGATGTATATACCAGGTGCCGGACTCCGTACAGGTCCGAGAGGCGAAGGCTGTAACAGATTTGATGATATATAAAAGTGTTTTTATGATGACTGAGAAGATGCATTGTAGAAACATTTATTTAACGTCACACAGTTTATGTAAATCAGTTCCTAAAGTTTGTCGTAACCTGCATGCTCCATTGTTAATTCAGTCCAATAGTGGCACGGTTCAGAATACAAACACATGTACTCGACTTCGTTTGAAAATTAGATACACGGAAATTATGAAACTCATGAGTCATGGGGTTAGTGACCTCCCTATCTGATTTTAGCTTTTCTTTCGATGGCTTTGCATTTTCGTTATTCGTCTCCTAGGCTTCAAAATTTGGTTCCTGACCATCACTGACGAGCCACTGAGGACGAAACAGCTGTTTGACTTTTCTTTCGATGGCTTTGCATTTTCGTTATTCGTCTCCTAGGCTTCAAAATTTGGTTCCTGACCATCACTGACGAGCCACTGAGGACGAAACAGCTGTTTGGTGAAGTTTTATTCATTTATTGTGTCTACTGTATCTTACTCTAGAATGTATGTAAAGGTATCACTGGCTTGTGTGTTTTTTGTACAATATCAAAGGACACATATGTGTGTCAATTAAGTTTTCGTTGGTTTTCGTCTTTTCCCAAATCTATACAGTTACGTGCTCCGATCGTGCTCACCCTTTGCTAAAGATATTTTCCCGGTCGACTGAGAACTGCCACATGTGATATAAGATCAAACAACAAAATACTTATTTTACACACAACTTTACTATAGTTTATCATGAATCATTCGTATTATTGATAGAGCAATGAGGGTTTGACCATTTTTGCACTATTGCATCAATGCCGTGCTCCGGTGGTTATTACGAAATTTTAAGGAACAGCTCTTGATTAGAAGGGATTAATAGGGATCACTAGTGCAACGAGAGACAGATTGATGAGAGCTATTTAAAGCTGAACTAACGTAGGGATGACATTCAAGTGATAATGACATCTCGATACCAATTTATAGGTAGAATTGCACTCCATAAAATGAAATAAATTGCGTTAAGTAGCTCTGTTTCGTCCTTATAGGACTCTACCGTAATGTGAGAAGGCTACAAAGTGGAAATGTTGAAGGCAAATTAGGAACATTGCATACAACATCAATTGAAATATAGATGAGGATAATCAGTAATTACATACTATATATATATTCCAGACTTACTTTGTATATCAAATACGTACCGGCGCTGTCAAACATATTGACATAACTCGGGCAGGGTTGATGCACCGTGTTCCCAGCTCTCGTGTACGGCCAGCAGGAAATCGTGTCCCAGGCGGGGCTGCAGTAGGTCCCTAAGGATCAGGAAGACATTACATGACGTTGTAGACTTTTTATTCATTGTATAAGTAATGCTATCTGTATTTGTTAAATTCGTTAAGTCCGTTAAATTTGAAGTTCTGATTTTGTATATTTGTGTGTGTTATTATTTTTTTGACATTGCAAACAAATGCTATTTAAACTTGTCTTTATAAATTCAATTTCCCGTTTATTTATCAATAAGTATTGCTACTGTTTGTCTGTCAAACTCGAATATATCCTTTGGTAATTTGGACTTGCGATGACTTTAGATTTAGTCTTATGAAAAAAAGGAAGGACTGTACGAAAAAAAAAAATTAAAAAGTTTATGATATAAGATGTGTAAAAACACTAAAACAGGACCATTGGTAACATAATAATCTAGAACCATGTTAGTGAGGCAGCAAAAAGTGTGAATTTAGCATTATATGTCAAGTAATTTTGACAACTTATCTTCTACGTGAAACATACGTCTGAGACACGTGGCCATTGGAAGTGCTTACCATTTCCTGGTTTGGCCGTTATCAGGCTAGTGTTGAGACATGCTATTTCAGCCTGTAGTAATAGACGATTCTGCTCTTCCAGGGAGATGGTAACTACCTCCTGGTAAAATAATATATGTTGATGAGCTTTTATATCAATACATATTAAATCAAGTTTCTAATGATGGAGGATATCATGTACAACATCTGTGACTGATTGGTGTTAATATTCAATATTTTTGTTGTCACAGGAAGCTATTTATAAATGCACCAACATTTTATGAAAAATAACTTAAGATTTGTAAGTAGTAGTATCTTGAAACCGTCATTTGTCATCTAAAGCAATATACAAAGACGTGAAAAGAAAACAATGAAAAATGCAAAGAAAATAGCGTTATGGTTGAGTTTCGTAATACGTACCCCTCCAGCACCAATCATGAAATATGAGACGCACCAGACCATATACCACATCCATTTATGTATATCAGTGACAGCACGTGCCATAGCTATCATTTACATCTACAACAAACAAAATAGAGCGGTCAAGTTTCAACAAATGTTTGAAATTCCGAATTATTTATTACTATTTAGAGATAATTCCCAATGCATGTAGCTTTTCAGTATCAAAATGACTGAAATTAGAGTTTTTCACTTCGCATTTATTGTTGAATATTTACGTTGTTCGTTTCAATAACCTAATGTATTTCATAATTGGACATCCCACATCCATTTGTGTATATCAGTAACAGCACGTGCCACAGCTGTCATCTACATCTACAACAAACATAACATAGCTGTCAAGTTTCAATAAATGTTTGAAATACCGAATTATTTGATGCCTTTTTAGAGATATCAAAATGGCTGAAATCAGATTCGTTTCATTTCGCATTTATTGTTAATTATCTACGTCTAAGTTTCATTAACCTGATGTATTTCACATTTGGACAGGGCAGACATGTGTTTATCTTTTCTGCCATATGGTATGGTGTTTAACTTTTGAAAGGCTTTGCGATATATTTATTTCATACGTTTGTTTCGTAAGTTTGGCAGAAGCTTCTCCGGAAAGAAACGCAATAGTGTCAACTTTGTGACACGCCCTCCTTTGAATTACCAAACGAGCTGGTCTACTCAAGTGATTATTTTACCTTTGGCGTCAAACATCACAACAAATAAACAACGTAAACGAAACGAGCACTAATAGACAGGTGATTGAACGGGAACTGACTAGACTAATTTATTCATTTGCATGCCAGTTATTTAAAAGTGTACTTGTCAGCTAGTTAACCAAGAGAAATTAAAAAGGACAATTAATGACTTGAAGACAGTTCATAAAGTTCATAGAAAAATATAAAGAATATTCATTGGGTTCTTCAATATATTACGAATCGAGAGTTTGTAGAGGAACATCAAAGCCATAGGAATTGAACAGAAAAGGTATTTCTGGGCCAAAATGGTAGAGTTTCGTTACAAGCGCGCCTTTTAATTACTGACAAAGACATAAATCGACAGTGAAAAAAACCCCAAAGAAACAAAGATTGATACTTTACTGGCCAATGCAACCATGTAATACCATTAAATTTATTCGATTTATTTATATTATGCTACCTTAAACATGATGAGACATCACGTTACTATAGTATCTAAATTTTAAGCCAGAACACTTGTCCACTTGTGCCATATTCGAATTAAGCTACAACATCAAAAGTCTCTCTGTAAACAAGAATCTACGGGCAGTTAAACATTATGTAAGTCCAAAAGATACGGAACGCACATGTCGTTTTTGTTTTTAAATATTTACACAGGACACGTTTAGCATCCCATGAATTGTTTACGTCATAGAGAACTTGAAATGAACAGTTGTACCATTTTATGTAACATCAACAACACGAACCAAAAACTCTAACATCAGTGTATAGTACAGACCACGTTAGGAGCCTCAGCTCAAGGTTTGTATATGTTCTCTGATTGGTTACAGTGTAGATTTAATAACGTGTCAAAAGTTGGTTGTTGATGTTAAATTTGATTTAAATAATAATGATATTGTTCACTTATTATAACAAACTTTCAGAATAAAGTATTCATGTGTCAGTAGAGAGCTAAAACATTTTTCTTTATTGAAATGTCAGATCACATCATAACAAAAAAAAACGAAATATGACAGTAGAAACGACATATATGTGTTATACATCCTGCTAGGATGTTACATTTGCTAAACTAGTGCCTAGATTTACAGTATTTGTTACAAGTACTATCATTTTTTCAGGGTAACCTAATCAAATACAAGAGCAAAATAAACTTAGGTTGGACATTGAATATCTGTGTCGGGACACCGTGAAGAATTGGCTATTCTTCTTATTGTTTCTGTTATTAGACTGTTTTGTTTACAAACATATAATAACAATTATCTAAATAACACACATGGAGATATCAAAAATACGTGCATGCATATAGAATCGTATACGTGATTAAGAATTGACGTCCTATTATACAGGGATGTTTGGTTATTTCCTGAAACTGTATACCGTTAAAGCAAGATCAGAAACTCTAGAAACATCAAAACAGTTGTATCACAAACGGGATACGTACTACAAAACTTTAAGCATCGCTTTAATGCACGGTGACAATACCGTGGTTGGCGTGGCTTTACTTTAAATCAAAAGTATAATGGCTGATACAAGCCGATTCGTTACACACGCTTCACATCACTCTTTCATTGCGATTCAACGAATACTTAAAAGATAAAATGCTGTTTGGCGACTCAGCATACTTTAACTTTCTTAGTATCGTCGTTCTGTCGCTCCTCGACTCGGAATAACAATTACACGCATGTTCCTTTAGTCTTAATTGTAAATTGATGAAACTTTTAAACAATAAGAAATGCTCCCTTACATATACATTTCAATGAACCTATCCGTATTCGTTTGCAGCTTATTTTTGAGAACCCTTATACAACCATCATGGTGTCTGTTTACATAATTAATTTGCGCTTTATCGTATTTGCTCTGAAACCAATAGATTGAAATGTCAAATTTACTTTTACTAAAAGGCTATTGATATCCGCGTATATCAAACTTGATTTTAAACCAACAGAGAGCAATGCTATATTTGGTATTTTTCTGAAAGGCTTGTAAACATGATATACATCATACATGATAAGATGGCCCGTTTTTCATTCAGCCAGTTATATTATACGATAAAAAGTATAGTCCCGGGACTCTGCAAATTATTTTAGCGAGTATTTAATTTCACGAAATGTAAGTGACTCTCTTATTTGCGAATACAGGATTTTGCGGGTACCATGCTACAAAACTTATTTGCTTAAAGACACCATCAGCAAAAGTATATTCGCGACGGAAATGAATAGTGATACTGCTCGCGAATAAATGCGAAATATAATCACTCGTCAAAAATAAGTGATATACAATAAGTAACACACCACCAATGCTCCCTGTATTCCAAGCATGGGAAACGGTGTTCATGACAATGTAAGTTGGCCTTATGCTGAAAGGAAAATCGCAAATAGAATGCGCCTAGGTCGATGGATATCACTGCAATTATGATGGTAAAATCGAACATTGTTAATTCACATTTAATCTCTTTACAACCATATAAACCGCAAAAATGAATCGATCAGGGTACTTAACTGCCAGTACGCACGAGACACATGGGACGAAGTCCAGTTATTAATGACTATATTCTGTCCTGCTCCTGTTAGTTGTTTACTGTACATGACTTGGTTCTCAACGTCACTGCGATGAGACATGAGGTGGGAAGGAAGGCTTACTTTAAGATCACTGGCCAAGCTTGGAACACTTTGGTCATGTTGAAAGATTTTAAATATCTCGTACACTTAATGTCACATAGAAGGTTGGAACAGCGTCAGATGATATGTTTTTTGAAAACCTGAGTGCGACCAGTAGTACTACAATTTGTATAAAGTTCCTTCAAAATTAATGGTTTTAGAAATCCTTATGTGGCGTAAAACAAAAAAACATACAGACAGGTCAACATGACATTATAAGGCTGAGGAGACGATGACATGATATCAAAAATACACAGAGAGTCTTGACGCGATACAAGGAGAATAAGGTTAGGCATCTTCTGTTTCGTTGTCTTGTAAGTCTTGGTCAAGATATTTATAAGTAATATCACACACCGTAATGAAAAAAGTCGAACAACAGAATCACCTGACATACTAATATCAAACACAAAGTAATAAAACAAGATTATAAAATCTCCCCATGACTTCATTATGACAGCCGTAAAACGGCCTCGTTAACAATATCAACCCACATCTCTCATTTTCCTGTGAATTTTAGAATATCGAAGATAATACGACTTGTAAACAGCGATAATGATATATGTATATATAAAGAAAAAACATCAAACCAAGGATATACTATAATAAGTGTCATGTTACAGATCACAATAATAATAATAATAATAAACTAAAAAAAAAAAAAAAAAAAAAACAGCATGAAAATAACAGCATGTGAACAAAATCATAATTCAAACTCAAATTCAGAATATGAACAAAAGAAAGATCTACAAGGAGACCCGTGAAAAAAGTAAAAGGAGAATAAGACCAGGTGTTGTGGAAGAGTAAGCGTCTTCTGTTTTATCGTCTGTCTTGCAAACAAGAAATGTCTACAAAAGTTGTCTCTGGTGGCTTCCAGTTAGCGATTGACGCGTCCCGTCCAACATTTCCTAATATATTATGTACAAGTTTTAATCATTAAAATTTCTTTTTGTGAGATGAATCCTTAATATATCTAAAAGTGAAATTATAGGACTTGTGAAGGAAAAAAATATTACTGGGATCATCAAAATTTGCCACTTTTCACAATATTGTTTTATATACAGCGTAAATAATATCACCCTAAAAATTGTGACTGTGTGAGTTAAAATAGCCTTCGAAATTAAATTATATGGTATTTCAACAAATCTCGTAGTTATATAGGGTTGTTGGTCACTTGCTCTATTGTATAAATACAGGGATATTACTCTTTAGAATGAAAGGACCACATTCCGTGGGAACGCTCACCTCCCACAGTAGTTCTATATTTGTTCTATGATTTGTTCAAATATATCGCAAGGAAATACTAAAGAATGCAAACATTA